ATCATAGATGTTACCATGATGATAGCAATGATTCATTAATTTCAGTAATGCCCACTGAACTTAGCTGGTGAATATTTTTTTTGCACATTCTTCCATCATTTGTTTATTTTCAAAGCCAACTCTTTCACCTGCTAACATAATCCTCACCAAACTTCACACACCATGGTTGTGATTACCTTTGATAATGAGCAGAAGAGAAGTTTGTGATTTCTAATGATGCATTTCATACATCAAAAGCAATTAGAAAATAGGCCATCAAAACTAATACCTATAGACCAATCAGAGTTTTTAACATTAATTATGACCCCCCTCCCCCCCACTCCAATAAAAAAAAAATACGTCTTAAAATAACAACTATACCCACAATCCAGTGCTCGGAAAGAATATTGTTTGAGGTAAGAGGAGTGCTCTTAAATCTTAGTTTTGGAAACACCCCACAATTTGACACTATAAGAAATAAAGGTCATGAATAACTAAGTTAACTAACGATAGGATGTGCCGCAGCATTACAATCTTTTAGATACCCTAGTAAAACTATGACAAAATTACACTAAGCGTTAAGTTTTTTTACAATGTATGTAACATCACAAAAGCTAATAAAAGTTTATTCATTGACCAACGAAATACATGAAGAAATAATTGGTTTTTAACCTTGAGAGAGTTCCGTTGGAAAAGAAGGTAAGACAGGCGACTAAACCACTGCCACACTCCCTGCACTGAATAGGAAATACTCAGGGTGCTTTGACAGAGCTTGACCCATTTTCAAAATGGCGGATTTTACCGCCGAAAGTTCCATAACAACAACAGTATACAACGGCCAACATTTCCAAAATAGAGGATAATTCTTTACAAAACCAAACCTCAGGGCTTGTTGTGATGAAGCTGTAGGATTTTGTGTCCTTTGTTACTGTATATACATCAGTGTTACTTTGTAGCAGGTTGTAACCATACTGAGGTTCATTTCAAACAAAGTTTTGTGAAGACCTCTGTACCAACCTACAAAACAATTAAATATCCTGAGCAGTGAACCAAACAACAGACTATCAACCCCTTTTTGTTCATCTTTCTCAAAGATTGATCTCGCGAATGCGTACGCCAATAACAGAAAATCTAAAAAAATGAGATTTTCGGAAATTCAGGGGGTTGGTTTGTGGCGATCATGCAACTGTCAACCTTAAATAAACCATAGGAGCCGCAATCGGCGAGATCATCAACATATCTTAAAAGAAAGAAAGCTTCGTCTGAATAGTGCACTAGAATAACAGTACGTTTGAAACTTAAACAACACTAACGTAACAAAAGTGGTTCGCAAACCTTTAGGAAGCAGTGATCCTGAAAAGCGTGATATTTGATGTGATCAATTTGAGTCCGAGAGTTCCAATCGCCAGCATTCGACAGAATCCCTTCCTTCCAAAACTTCAGGAACTTTTAACCTACAG